CGCAGAGTCACTGCCTGAAGCTGAACAATTGAAGAACATGTTGCTTGCAGAAGCAAAACACATTGTCGGTGAAATAGTATCTTGGCAGCCCCCTGATTGCCTCAATCAGCATTTCCTCCCTAAATCACCGTGACAAAACTTTCTACTAATCCCCGCAGTGGACTTTTCAAGATGAATTTTGTGTCAGCTTGGATAACAATGGCTTGTTTACACTGTGCGTGCTTGAGGCTACTTGGCCACATGTGAAAGACAAGTAGTGCGATGATCACGCCTCCCGATTCCAAGGTGCCGTGTCTAACAAATCATCAATCCCCTTGCAATTTTCACGAGGCAAACTAAAATGAGCCTGGCAACGAGACTTGAGGCTTCCATCACTTCCAGCCTGAGGCCCATGTCTTGTGCTCCTGGCCAACGCTGGACGCCTTAGGTCACAAACACAGTCGTTGAACCTGGGCCTAGACTTGAAAGGTTTTGACTTAGCCCCAAACGTGAAGAGCAAGTTGACAAGGGGCAAAAAGTAGAAGTTGCTCTCTGAGTAGATGAGTGCCTGCTCCTAGAAAACTGCGATGGAAGTTGCTTTTACCCAGTGGTTGCTGCACAGTGCTCAGATAAGAGGCAGCACAATGCCTGGGGTTACATAGCAAATAGGCCTGTCATCAAATGGGTTGCAACATGTACGCCATCTCAACCAATACCCTTGGTGCTTTGGCAGTTTCTGCTTGGGCGTCGTACAAACGCATGCATACCTGAAACGGTTTCCAACATTTGTTCGGCAAAAACGGCCTTTCCGATATTTCAACCCGAAGCTAGACTACCACGCCCAAATCATTGCATCATCAAAATGGGCCCTAAGCACGAAAGCACTCCCGCGGCTGTTTCACAAGCTGTCGCGTGCAGTAGAAAGTGGTATCAAGCAAACCCGTCTGGCTACCAAGGAGAGCCAACGGATGGACAAATCTTTAGTGTGCAGTTTGATCCAACGAATGTTTCAATTGCAAACCCGGACTGGCGACAATCCTATGCTTGTGAAGTGTTCTGAGATGGCCACTACATCGATCGGAACCTTTCGACTTTCTTCTTAATTTCACAGCAAAAGTTGATTCGTGGCTCTTGTCTTGCTCTCAGCACGTATTCGCCTTGGAAGGCGACTCCAGTTGGTTGGCACATTCCGACTTCCGAAGGGCTATATTTCGGCCTAGATCATTTTTCACGCCATGCCTTGGTCTCAAAAGGGGTGAATCAAGACTCCTCCGCCAACAAGTGTGGAATCAAGGCGTTTCTACCTCCGACCCCCGTCTTGTGGCTTGTGCCTGCCGCAACTGCGGCTGAAGCCCAGGGCACCGCGCTGAGATAGTGGCAGCACTTGTGTTGGGCTCAAAGCGCCTGGTACCACCGAGCCACGTGGATGGCAGACTACAAGCTATGAGATCCTAGGCAAAGTCCTTTCTGCCCCTTCCCCTGATTCTTTCCACATGTACTCAGCCCGGAGCGACTTGGTGTGCTGCGCTTTCCGCGTAGACTCATAGTGCAACACTGGACGAAACTTGGGCATCACATGTCAAGTCCATGATGTAGGCGATTCACATTCATTTTGGTCTTATGTGTGTCAGTGTCGGAAGCTGTAGGACTACAACGCCCGGACGCACCTGGGTCACGACCTGAACCCAAGACAGTTCGAACATGTGAATCATGTCCTACCCTCAAAACCTAACATGCTCACGCGCCTGCCCAGAATGCGATTGATGGCCGGGCCTCATTCGGCAAGCGCTGGAAACGAGCCCGGCTAGCCAAGTTACCCCTTAGAAAGGATTTGCAACTTGGGAGCTTTCAGGCTGACTCCCCCTTAGTGCCTAGTGGGCGGGGGCGCGGCTTTTGCAGCGGGCGTGGCTCTCGCAGTGCATGCACTCCTGCGTATAACTTGAAACAGGCTCTTGACACTTGCCCCATGAATGTAGTTGGCCCAAGGGAGGTCATAGTACGTGAGCAGCCTCGTTGTTAGCCATGAAGGTCAAGCACTTCTCAACAATCAGCATGTTTGTTGCTCTATTTGTGGAATTCTCGTCATGCGTCCAAACAGGTCCAAACAGCTTCTGTCATGACATGATTAACTCTAACAGTGGCATGATGGGACAAAGCATCAAATAATTGATATTAATTCAATTTTAGAAGGTTGAGCCTCGTCTTGTCGAATGCCCCAGATTCTCCATAGGTGCCCCTGCGCAACGCACGGCCCAGGGCTGTGTCCAGCCTGAGGCTAGTGGATGTGAGAAGTGTCACAAAACAGAGCCACAACTTGCTGAATGCAACTAGTGGAGCAGAAGAGCTTTCACTCAAAGCGGAGAGAGAGGCTGAGGAAACTTATGCGAGCGACATGTGTCTGTTCGAGATGGGTAGCGCAACTTTGGAAAAGGCTCAATATTCTTGTGGTTGAACCGCAGCTTGGGTGAACCTCGTTTTCAGGCCTTGAGCTGTCACTGCTTAGGCCACCTCCCGCCAAGCTGGAAAAACCAAGAATAAATGGTGCAGAACCCACGCCACAGCGCTTCTCTGCTGAAGCGAGGGCTCACATCAAATGTACAAGGGCCAAGTGGCATGCACAGATCGTTCATGTGCCGTAATTCTAGACTGCGTCGTCGCCCAACCACCAAGAAACAACACTCCTCTCATCACTTATGGCTCAGCGAGTAGACATCTCTATCTGAGCTAGGGCAAAAAGTGCTCTCCGGCGGCCAGTGGCAAACACAATTCCCGGAGGCTTTCCAATCTTCGCCAGGCACAAAGAGACACAAATTGCTTCATGCTTCTTCGTCGAGTGAGCCCGACCACAGTCGTGTGACATTCATGTGAAGCTGGACTGTGCCAAGCAAGAACTGTTCACTGAAAGAACATACACTGCTGTGGATTTCCGTTTCTGTCAACAACATATGCTGCAAGCAAAGCGAATGACTGACAGGCAACCTGTGTAACAAGTGCGAGTCTCTACATGAACAAGGTTGCAATCCCACACCCGTCGGAAACTCAGGGACTGAGACGTGATCCGGAGAAGCTGGTGGAGAATGTGATTCGCGCGGGAATCCCAAATCCCGAATCCCAAATTTTAGGATGGGGCCTTCCCAGCCCCGAATCCCGAATCCCGAATCCCAAATGCCGAATCCCAAATTTTAGGATGGGGCCTTCCCAGTCCCGAATCCCGAATCCCGAATCCCAAATTTTAGGATGGGGCCTTCCCAGCCCCAAATCCCGAATCCCAAACCCTGAATACCAGAATGGGGCTTCCCAGCCCCGACTCGCGAATCCCGAATCCCAAATCCCGAATCCCAAATTTTAGGATGGGGCCTTCCCAGCCCCGAATCCCGAATCCCGAATCCCAAATGCCGAATCCCAAATTTTAGGATGGGGCCTTCCCAGTCCCGAATCCCGAATCCCGAATCCCAAATCCCGAATCCCAAATTTTAGGATGGGGCCTTCCCAGCCCCAAATCCCGAATCCCAAACCCTGAATACCAGAATGGGGCTTCCCAGCCCCGACTCGCGAATCCCGAATCCCAAATCCCGAATCCCAAATTTTAGGATGGGGCCTTCCCAGCCCCGAATCCCGAATCCCGAATCCCAAATGCCGAATCCCAAATTTTAGGATGGGGCCTTCCCAGTCCCGAATCCCGAATCCCGAATCCCAAATCCCGAATCCCAAATTTTAGGATGGGGCCTTCCCAGCCCCGCATCCCGAATTGCAAATCCTGAATACCGAATCCCGAATCCCAGAATGGGGCCTTCCCAGTCCCGAATCCCGAGTCCCGAGTCCCGAATTCCAAGTTTTAGTGTAGGGTTGATTTGAAAAGGGGGTTTAGGGTTGCCCCAGGGTTGATTTTGTGTGAGTTTAGGGTTGGTTGGGGCTGGCTTAGGGGTTGTTTAGGGTTTGCTTAGGGCTGGTTTAGGCTTGTTTTAGGGTTGGTTTAGGCTTGGTTTAGGATTGCTCTCGGGTGAGTTTAGGGCTGGCTGGTTTAGGGTTGGTTTTGGGGTTGGTTTTGGGGTTGGTTTAGTGAGTTTAGGGCTGGCTGGTTTAGGGTTGATTTACAAACCAAACCTAAACCAACCCTAAACCAACCCTAAACCAACCCTAAACCAGCCAGCCCTAAACTCACCCGAAAGCAATCCTAAACCAACCCCAAACCAGCCCTGAACCCACCCCAACCAGAGCCCAAAACCAACCCTAAACCAGCCCTAAACCAACCCCTAAACCAACCCCAGGGTTTGTTTAGGGTTGGTTTAGGGTTGGTTTCGGGTTGGTTTCGGGTTTGGTTTAGGGTTTCTTTCAGGCTAGTTTAGGGTTTATTTAGGGAATTCGGGCCATCCTCGGATTTGGGATTGGGGATTCGGGATTCAGGATTTGGGATTCGGGATCGAAGGCCCCATCCTAAAATTTGGGATTCAGGATTCGGGATTTGGGATTCGGGGCTGGGAAGGCCAACTAAACCAACCGTAAACCAGCTCAAAATCAGCCAACCCTGAACCAACACTAAGCCAGCCCTAAACAAACCCGAACCCCCCCAAACCAACCCCCAAACCAACCCCCAAACCAACCCCCAAACCAACCCCCAAACCAACCCCCAAACCAACCCCCAAACCAACCATCCTTCAACCAACCCTAAAACAACCCAAAACCAGCCCTTAACCAACCAGCCCTAAGTCAACCCTAATCCCTAATCCCGAATCCGAGGATGGGGCCTTTCCAGTCCTGAATCCCGAAATGTGATTCAATCCCGAATCCCGCAACTGCGCACGACCTCCGGATCACCACTCCATGGAGTTGAAAAGCTGCATGGAAAGTCTTACTACCATCACGTTAAGCAACTGAAAGGTTGGCTACTTGGGGACGTGGAGTGATGCAAAACACTGCATCGCAACCTACAATGTTTTATGGCCTGAAGTTTTGCGAAGGAAACTGAAGTCCTCAAGGCCTTGTCAAACTTGTACACCTGTAAAACACTCACACAGAGCGAACTGCCAAATGAACTTGCTGCTTGCACACCGGACTGCGGGGACGCCTCTAAGTCCAGGCTACAAAAAACACTTGGATTGGCAACAGCCAACCCCTGGCCCAGAATAATTGTTGAACTTACAGGGGGCTTCGATTTGGGCTCGAATTGGGATTCCTGCTCGCAATTAACACTTGAGCCCTCTGCTAGTGATTAAATCCTGCGGAAACACTAGGCTTAAACCTTATTCGAACGCCAAACAGGTGTGGATGATCCTGCGCAACGTTGCTACAACTTGCCTGAGAAAATGCAAGATTATGTTGCTCTTTTGCCTGCAGAACCATTTGGACGCCATATTTTCACAATGCGTGGATAGTTCAGTTTTGCCAGCATGTGCCAAGAAACACCTGGTCGAACACTGTGGGCGTCACTGTGTGAAGTGAACACTCGCCGCGAACCAGTTGAGCTAGGGTGCGACCGCATTTTGTTTCTATGCGTGAACACTTTACGTTGAATTGGCCGTACCCAAACATAAAGCAATTTATGTGTGAATTCCACGTTCGTCGCGGTAAAAACCACCAAAAATACTCCAACGCTTGCCGGTTGCTCGCTAAAAAGGATGATTATTTCTTCAAACATGAAGGAACCCAGCTGCGAAACACAATTGTGCGCGCAAATAATTCGACATGTTGAGCTCACTGCGCTGGCCATCCAAGCACATCTTCCCACTCCCTGGTATATCAGCAAAACTTTTTGTGCTTTGCCGCCACCGATTAAGCTCAAACAAACTCGAACGAACAAACAACAAAAACGCAGGTCAAGAACCAAAACGTAATTGTGGATTGCCCTCGAACATTCGCAAGAGAACAATTTGGTGACAACGCCTGGTGCCAAGCAAAACCAGTTGACAACGGCTCGTTGTCAGGGCGCAGTAGTTGTGGCTGATCAAGCACTTCCTCCGGAATGTGCCGGCCCACCTGCGCTGGCACTTTTCTACCCCAGAGAACGAAATGGGTGGGCATTCACTCGCATTCACATTGTCTGGTCAATGGACAGGAGAACCACACGCTCGGGTGCAGACCGAGTCAAAGGCAGAATTGGGGAAAAAGAGGTTGCCACAAAAGCCGCACCCGGACTCGAACCAAACACAATCCAACCTGAATCCGCCATGATTCAATTTCAAGGCTTCCACTTTTGCGCCCCTACCCCAAGCTACCCAAAACCCACCTTGCCAAACAAAACTTGCCCAGCAGCCTGCAGCAGATCAACTCAACAGGCTCAAATGCTCTTCTTGAAGCCCAACAACCATCAAACCAAGCAACCAAGCAAACAAGCAACCAACCAATCAACCAAGTCGTCACAAGAAAGTGTCAGTAGCTACAAGGCGAGAAAACTGAGTCGCTCCTCTTGCTCACCAACTCCCTTCCTCCCTCCTTCCCTCCCTCCCTCCCTCCTTCCCTCCCTCCCTCACTCTCTCATTCACTCCACCCAAGGGAGGGGTGGGAACAGCTATATAGTGAGGATTCTAATAAGTGTTCAACAACTTTTAGAACAGTACAAGAAAATCATTTGTGAGTAATCTATCAGTCTAATAATGTCCGGTGCCTTCATTTTTCACAAGAAATCAGAACAACAACTAATTTGCCATCCGCATTTTTCATAAAACAACAACAGCCAAGGCACTTTAGCCTTTCCATTATGTCCGAATCATCAAAGCCAAAGCACCGCCCCTTAGCCATGTTTCATGCAATCCACAACAACCACAAATTTAGCACCCTTAGTCATTTTCACCAACTCATAACAACCACTCATTTAGCACCCTCATTCATTGTCATAAAATCATACCAGCCACAAGTTTAGCACCCTTATTCAATCTCAAATATCCAATCATCGCTCCCTCATTCATTTTTATCAACACCACAACAACTAACCAGAAACCCGCCTTATCCACTTCTAACATCAGCAATAACAACTAACCATATGCCTGCCTCGCCCCATAACGTGATGGCACGCGTTGCGCTGCTTCAACAGGTCTATTGCCACTATCACCGTATAGGTACAAATCTTTCAGTGGCGATGACCAGATAAAATCCAAGTGCCTTCTGTCAAATCCAACGATATTACTTTAAACCTAGCGACCCCGCTACAATCCCAACCGACTGTGTGCCATTAAACATATTGGTTCTTCTCTTCCTTGTACTCGATTTGGAAAGTTTCTAAACTACTCGGTTTAGCTCTGTTTATGTTTTTTTTCTTCTTCATCTTAGTGAGAGAACATTTGCTACTGTCTCTATTCAACAACTTTTGACACTTAGTTGTTTTGTTATGTGGAGGTTTAGTATTCATTTTCTCGATGGTTTCACTATGGTTCTATTTTGTTCTGAAAGGTTTTGCAAATTTGCAAACAACATCTCAAAACTTGTGTCAGTATTCTCTACACGCTTTTCCATCTACAAATCAGTATAAGACTACACTTTCAAATTATGTGCAATCTACTCCTTAAATATTATTATGGATTCCTGTGATTCTCCTTCACTATTCTCGGAGGCTGATGCTTGCCTTCCCCGTTTAAATGTTACAATATGTAAGTGAATCTCAAGGTTAGTATCACCAGCTTTAGTTTTATCAACTCATTCCCTTGTCCTTCTTACTTACTTTGAACCCTGTTGGCACGTGTGAACATTTACAACTTCCCTCCTTTCGTGCTAAGAACTAGTTCAGGCTAAATTCTAACATCTTTGGGCGCTTCGGGCACATAAGATCAATGCTCGATGTTTGTTTATCTTCATCTGTTGAAGAACCGCATGGTGAAGTGTTATTTTTGTTCTTTTTTCTTTCTTCCCATTGCCATTAGTACTGACACTTCCATTTTTTGAACAATTTCTTACAGTAATCCTAATGAGAAATCGCAACACAGTTATTACTTGCTCAACTGCTTCTACTTCCTTTACTATATTTGTAAAATCCGACTACCTCTGTCCAATAAAAATGAGAAGGTGCGCTAGTATGATTACTGTAATGATTGAGAATGCTCAGGGAAAGCAACGGGGCATCTTCGCGCTGGACAAAAAAGGGCTGAAACTGACTATACTCAGTGCTTGTGGTTTAGGCGATCGACGCATCGGCAGTGCCTCGCGAAGCTTCGTGATAATCTAGACACATCCCCGGCCTATATCGTATCTTGAAAAGATGTCTGTGTCAACCCACAACCACAACCACATCACACCGCATGCAAAATATATATGCGTGTGCAATGGACACACAAGCGCGTGGAAATCTTGATCACCGAGAACTGTCGCACCTCCATTCAGTGCAGGCTTGCACGTTAGGGTGTGTGTGTGTGTGTGTGTGTGTGTGCGTCACATTTGCGCAATTCTAGCCTGTTTGTGGCCACGCGTGCACAGGGTCCTGCTATTCACCAATTCTGTTTGATTCTCTTTTTCACCAAAATCCTGCAGGAGCAAAGAGGGGGGGCTTTCGTTGGCTGGAAGTACTTCATCGCACACGGAGCGAGATTTTACAAACAACGATGCAAGACAGGCTTTGGAAACCTATGACTTCCTATGTTTCCACTGTGTGTTCGCAAAACATTCAGTTCTAGGCAACGTGTCATGGGAGCTTGAAATTTGATATCGGTCTTTCAAGCTCAAGTGGGGGCATCGTGCAGGTTCGCTTGGTTTCAAGCTTTTAAACACGAATTGTGGAAGCGCACGTTTTCGTACCTTCCAACAATGTTGGGTGAGTTGCAGTATGATGCGTGTGTTTTCCGCCCTTTTCCTCAGGGATAGTTCTCAGCCACTTAGGAAAACCAGCAAGCCACCCCCTCAGAAACCAAAGAGACACAACAGCAGAAAAGGAGAGCAAAAAACCTACAAACAAGACCATGATAAAGACACCGCCCAGAGGTCTAGAGTCCGAACTTGCATTCTTTGAGTCGGACCCGTGCCCCCGGAAAGCTCATCAGCTCCATTGCATTTCGTGTATTGCTTGTTTATAGCTAGGATGCCGGGCAAGGTACAGGCTCACGCGGTCTGTGAAGTGGTTGCAGTTGTTGCGGGCTGCGTCATAGGCCTGCCACGGAGCTGCGCACGCGCATTCCAATGCTGCCATTCAAGGAAAGAACAGGCTATGAAAGCAAAGGTCAGGCTGAATATGCCTTGTGCTTTGCTTCAAACGCAGATCGGCATTCAAACAATTCTGCCCCACTAATGTGCCAGTGCAGCAGCGCGACGCATCGCCAGAACATCGCCCTGCATCCGTCGGATGTGCTATACCGGCACCCCTAAGTCGCCGGCTGAAGCTTTTCCGTTCAAGGCGCCGTTTTGAGTCCAAGCCCTAGCAACGGAGGGAGGTTCTTTGCCCGCTCAAATCCCCACTTCAAGCCCAGCGCGCCTCTCGGTTGAAAATCGGCTTGAGCTCGTCCACAATAAATCTGCAGTCGGCAAGGGCTCGCCACATACATCCATGGCAAGTCCTACAAAATATCTTATGTAAGCTGGTTCACACCACATCAGTTCAACTCTGGCCCTGCCAGGCCGGTAAGCGTTCCCAGTCTCATTTCAAGGTCTCTACTTTCGTTTAACGTGTTTCTGCCTGACATTTTGCAGGCAGGATGATTCAGTGTATGAACTCAAAAAACATGGAGGCCTTTTTCTGCGTGGTTGCTGAATGAAACCGAGGTAATTATCTGAACCAACCGCTTTGGGGGGGGGGGATCCCCAATTGTGGGAACACATTCGGTTTCTCGGGGCCGATGTCATGCCCGGCACAATTTCACACAGCTTCGTGCAATGCCGTGCAACACAGCACATATCTGCAAACAGAGCTTCTCTTTTTGATCTTGCTTCGAGGAAATTAGGAGGGACTTGCCTGAAAAAAACCTTACACTGCCGGGAGGTCTCCTACTTTCAACCAAAAAGGGAACGGCAAACCCTGTCGCGCGGCAAACTTCTTGCCCATTTCCGGGCTCCCAGCGCATGGAGCTCGTCACGCTGCCGCAACGTGGTGCCCAAAGGGATTACCAGCCTGTCAAAACACATCTGCTTAAGGCCATTGATTTTGGAATGTGACACCAGGGACCCTGCGAATGGCTTCACCTGGTTATGTCAACACACAGGCTCCAACTAAGTGGGCAAGAGCAGCCTGCTGAGGTGCATTGGTCGGGTTTGGAAGCGGCTCCAAAGCTCAAGACTCACTAAAGGGGATGGACGTGTTTTGACCGCTTCAGTTCCTTTCTCAGCAAACTGGAGTTCTGTTGCTTGTGCTCGGCAGGGAACACGCAACTCATAGGAGGATGACGCATGTGGAACCTCCCCCCCCTGGACTGGATAATTTTTGTGCGAAAGGAATACGTGTCAGTGGGGGCGACTTTTCTTCGGGGGACGGACACGTTGAAGTTGTTCGGCAGTTGTTCGGCAGGTCGCTTTCAATTCTGCTTCTCACTTTGTTGTGGGCTGCTCTGTTCAACAAAACCGAAACCAGGCTTGCTCGTTTCGCTGCTGCGAATGCTGCTCCGCCTTTCCAGTGTGCAAACAAAAGACAATTGGTTGCAGTTGTTGGGCATACCATTCCACACCCGGACCAATCCAAACCAATCCGGCCGCATCATGCATACGAGTAAAACCATCCTGCCAGCCAAACAAAGCCAAGCCACACCCAACGCATCAACATGGGCCACAGCAAGGGAAGGGGGCTCATCTGTGCCCACATTTTCGGCTCATCTCCGCCCGCACAGAAGTGACTCATCTGTGCCCACATTTTCTGACTCATGTGCGCCCACAGATTCTTGCGCGAATACATAGAAGTTGACCCTTTGCAAAAAGGGGTCAGCGGAGGATCATCTGCGCCCACACTTTGGGCTCCTCCCTGCCCACAGAGAGTTTTAAGGTTTTTTGGGCGTAGGGTCATTAGGGTTTAGGTTTTTAGGGTTTAGGGTTTTTAGGGCTAAGGGTTTTTAGGGTTTAGGGTTTTCAGGGTTTAGGATCTTTGTTGATTAGGGTGTTTAAGGTTTAGGGTTTTTAGGGTTTAGGGTTTTTAATGCTTAGGATCTTCAGTGTTTAAGGGTTTTAGGGTTTAGGTGTTTTTGGGTTCAGGTTTTTTTTGGGTTTAGGGTTTTTAGGGCTTAGGATCTTTAGTGTTTAGGGTTTGTAAGGTTTAGGGTTTTTAGGGTTTAGGGGTTTTAGGGTTTAGGGTCTTCAGGGTAGTGTTTAGGGTTTTTAGGGTTAAGGGTTTTTAGGGTTTAGGGTTTTTAGGGTTTAGTGATTTTAGGGTTTAGGGTCTTCAGGGTTTAGGATCTTCAGTGTTTAGGGTTTTAGGGTTAAGGGTTTTTAGGGTTTTTAGGGTTTAGGATCTTCCGTGTTTAAGGTTTTTTGGGTTTAGGTTTTTTAAGGGTTCAGATTTTTTTGGGTTTAGGGTTTTTAGGGTTTAGGGCTTAGGGTTTTGGGTTTTCAGGGTTTAGGATCTTTAGTGATTAGGGTGTTTAAGGTTTAGGGTTTTTAGGGTTTAGGGTTTTTTGGCCTTAGGATCTTCAGTGTTTAAGGGTTTTAGGGTTTAGGCTTTTTAGGGTTTAGGATCTTTAGTGATTAGGGTGTTTAAGGTTTAGGGTTTTTAGGGTTTAGGGTTTTTTGGCCTTAGGATCTTCAGTGTTTAAGGGTTTTAGGGTTTAGGCTTTTTAGGGTTTAGGATCTTTAGTGATTAGGGTGTTTAAGGTTTAGGGTTTTTAGGGTTTAGGGTTTTTTGGCCTTAGGATCTTCAGTGTTTAAGGGTTTTAGGGTTTAGGCTTTTTAGCGTTCAGGGCTTTCTTGGGTTTAGGGTTTTTAGGTCTTAGGGGTTTCAGGGTTTAGGGGTTTTAGGGATCTTCAGTGTTTAGGGTTTTCAGGGTTAAGGGTCTTTAGGGTTTTAGGTTTTTTGGGTTTAGGGTTTTTAGGGTTCAGGGGTTTCAGGGTTTAGGGGTTTTAGGGTTTAGGGTCTTCAGGGTTTAGGATCTTCAGTGTTTAGGGTTTTTAGGGTTAAGGGTTTTTAGGGTTAAGGGTTTTAAGGGTTTTTAGGGTTTAGGGGTTTTAGGGTTTAGGGTCTTCAGGGCTTAGGATCTTCAGCGTTCGGGTTTTTAGGGTTAAGGGTTTTTAGGGTTTAGGGTTTTTAGGGTTTAGGGTTTTTAGGGTTTAGGGGTTTCAGGGTTTAGGATCTTTAGTGTTTAGGGTTTTAGGGTTTAGGGTTTTTAGGGTTTAGGGCTTTTTTGGGTTTAGGGTCTTCAGTGTTTAAGGTTTTTAGGGTTTAGGGTTTTTAGGGTCTAGGGTGATGGGTATTGGGCACGCAGGGTTTAGGATCTTTAGTGATTAGGGTGTTTAGGGTTCAGGGTTTTTAGGGTTTAGGGTTTTTTGGCCTTAGGATCTTCAGTGTTTGAGGATTTTAGGGTTCAGGCTTTTTAGCGTTCAGGGTTTTCTTGGGTTTAGGGTTTTTAGGTCTTAGGGGTTTCAGGGTTTAGGGATTTTAGGGTTTAGGGTCTTCAGGGTTTAGGATCTTCAGTGTTTAGGGTACCTATGGCAGTTTCTCAGAATATTGTCTAAGAGCTGTAAAGCCCCAAAACACCTAAGATCATCTGCGCCCACACAATACTTGTGTGTACTGCATTTGTGAAGTTTAGAGCATAGGGGACTGCCATCAATCTGACTCATCTGCGCCCGCCACGGGTACAGACGAGGGGCCTACCACAGCAAGCAACAGCAACCCCCGCACAAGGCTTCCGACACCATGCTCATGGCTGCTTGCAAACATCCGAGCACAACCTGCCCCGACAACCGACTCAGAGGTGGGTGCAACTTCCTGCTTTCGAAGGGGATTCAAGGTGGATAACATCAAATCAAATTGTGTGAGGGCCCCCTGCAACACACCGTTGTTGTCGTCATTGTTGTTGTCGTTGTTGCTGCTGCTGCTGCTGCTGCTGTTGCTGCTGTTCTTGTTGTCGTCGTCGTCGTCGTTGCCGTGACTGTCTTTGCTGTTGTTGCTGTTGCCGTTGCCGTTGCCCTTGCCATTGCCGCTGCGGCTGCTGCTGTTGTGATTGTGGTTGTTGTGGTTGTTGTGGTTGTTGTGGTTGTTGTGGTTGTGGTTGTTGCGGTTGCGGTTGTGGTTGTGGTTGTGGTTGTTGTTGTGGTTGTGGTTGTGGTTGTGGTTGTCGTTGTTGTTGTTGTTGTGGTGGTGCTGCTGCTGCTGCTGCTGCTGCTGCTGTTGTTGTTGTTGTTGTTGTTGTTGTTGTGGTCGTCGTCGTCGTCGTCGTGGTGTGGTTGTGGTTGTGGTTGTGGTTGTGGTTGCGGTTGTGGTTGTGGTTGTGGTTGCCGTTGCGGTTGCGGTTGCGGTTGCGGTTGCGGTTGCGGTTGCCGTTGCCGTTGCGGTTGCGGTTGCGGTTGCGGTTGCGGTTGCGGTTGCGGTTGCGGTTGCGGTTGCGGTTGTGGTTGTGGTTGTGGTTGTGGTTGTGGTTGTGGTTGTTGTTGTTGTTGATGATGATGATGTTGTTGTTGTTGGCCCCAACCCCATGTAAACGCGCAAAACGACCCCTCGGAACGAACTTGGTTTCGTATGGCCTGCGCAGTGTTTCGTGCATGTTTGCACATAAAAAAGTGCATTTCGACTGCACGGGCGCGCGCGTCCCGCGTCCACAGTGGAGGGGGGCTGGGGGGGTGGGGGGGGGGGGGTGGGGCAATGTGGTCGCAATGTGGTCGCATATATATATATACCTCCGCGTGTCCTGCCGCTGAGTTGCATGCCCCGCACATTTACGTGTGTTTGTGTCCCCTAATATATATATATATATACCTCCGCGTGTCCTGCCGCTGGGTTGCATGCCCCGCACATTTACGTGTGTTTGTGCCCCCTAATATATATATATATATATATATACCTCCGCGTGTCCTGCCGCTGGGTTGCATGCCCTGCACATTTACGTGTGTTTGTGTCCCCTAATATAAATATATATATATATATATATACCTCCGCGTGTCCTGCCGCTGGGTTGCATGCCCCGCACATTTACGTGTGTTTGTGTCCTTGCTGACCCTCCTGGAACCTCTGCTAAAGCGGCGCAGAACGCATGCCCGCTCTAAAAAAATCAGCAAAATCACAAATTTGCGTTTGCCATTTCGTGCAGGCGAAACGCTCGCGCGGGACAGAAGTCAAGGTAGATCCGTCCCAGCCTGGCAACAGCGCTCAACATACAATTTCGCAAAAAAAAACGCACAATTTCCCAGTGTTTTGCACTAGTGCGTCATTTGCTTCGCCATCGCGCGCGCTCGTTTACAAGGCGTTGGAGCGTTGTTGTTGTTGGTGTTGCGGTTGTGGTCGTTGTGTCGTGGTCGTTGCCGTTGTTGCTTTTGTTGTTGTTGTTGTTGCTGCAGTGGTAGAAGTAGTAGTAGTAGTAGTAGTAGTAGTAGTAGTAGTAGTAGTAGTAGTAGTAGTAGTAGCAGCAGCAGCAGCAGCAGTAGTAGTAGTAGTAGTAGACGTAGTAGTGGCAGCAGCAGCAGCGGTAGTAGTTGTAGAAGCTGCTGCTGCTGCTGCTGTTGCTGCTGCTGTTGCTGCTGCTGTTGCTGTCGTGGTTGTTGTTGTTGTTGCTGCTGCTGTTGTTGCAGTTGTTGTTGTTGTGGTGGTGGTTGTTTTTGTTGTCTGTTGCTGGTTCTTTGTTGCTTGTTGTTTGTTGATTGTTGGTTTTGGTTGTTGTTGGTTGGTTGGCTTATTTATTTGTTTGTTTGTTTGTGTTTGCTTGTTTGTTTGTTTGTTTGTTTGTTTGTTTGTTTGTTTGTTGGTGGTGGTGGTTGATTGTTGATTGTTGTTTGTGTTTGTTCTTGTTTCTGTTATTGGTTGATGTTGGTTGTTGTTGTTGCTGCTGTTGCTGCTGCTGTTGCTGCCCTTGTTGTTGCTGTTGCTGCCCTTGCTGTTGCTTCTGCTGCCGGTGCTGTTAGCTGTTATCGTTGTTGTCTGGTGATGATGATGGTGATTGTCGTTGTTCTCACCAACGCTCTGGAACCGCGCGGCTTCCA